ATTAAATATTATTGCAATCTCATAAAAACTTAAAGGGCTACTTGGACGAAAATTGCGAAACATTAGAAAAGACTTGGAAATCAAATAGACCTATCATATGGGTGTAATAATCATGAAGCAACAGATTTCAAGAAAATATTCATGCAAATCCTTAATAATTTGGGCAAAAAATGTTGGAGTAGATGATGTCATCTACTCCATGCTTTTGTTCTTCCATCTTTTGAATCAAACTTTCTATGATGTGGGATAATTCCAAGACAAATATTTTCCCGCAATTGTTTTTAATAGATATTAATGAGTCATATATTTGTATTGCTTGAAGTTTTGAAATAAGGCCATTTTCATGCAAGTAGCACTTTAAAAAACGAAGGAAAACACAAAACCGGAAGTAAAAATACTAAATGAAATATTATAAATTCCACGTGATTGGAACACGGCGCCATGTTTGAATCGTGTGAATGACCGCTGACTCATCCAAAATAAAAATGACAAAAATTTATGCATAATATAATTACATAGATGCAGACGGAAGAAAAGGATAACATTCGGTTGGATTATAAGCGAACGAAAATAAACATTGTTTTTACATTACCTGCTCCTTTTCTATTTTTAATTGATTGAGCTCTCGGTCTCTTTTTTGAAGCTTTTCTTGCTGTTGTTGAATAAGCTCAAGGTGAAGTAACAACAGTTGTCTCAGTTGAGCCACTTGGGAGTGCGTGTCACTCTTATTATTGCCATGGCTTTCATCGGGGTCCAATTGCTTAGATGATTGTTCCTTATCTTTTCCATGTCTATTAAGTTCTTCTAAATCGCTTTTGGATATAAAGTTCGAGTTTTGGCGTGAAGATTTCGAACGCAACGCTCTTGAGTTTTGTCTTTCGTTTGGTGTACTAGCTTTCGGTGAACCTTTGTTCGTGTCGGCCATAGCGTCAGATTTATGTTGATTTTGATCCGAATTTCCACTCGACGGTAACTCTGTTGCCATAACCATTTGGAGAAGTCTCTGACAAGTTCGATCGAACACGCCACGCAATGTTTTATCCGCACTCATCAGCCCAAAGCACAACGGCCATGTCCCGATAAACGACATGTGATGTTTGCATGTAAATTAGCACTCAGAAACGAGGCAGCCTCTACCTGGTGCTCTGCTCGGATGATCATTGCGCGCCACGTGCTAGTCTGGCAATCAACCAAAAAAAATTTACTTGCTCTTAATTTTAGTTTATCCGTGGCAAAAGAATTTTCAGAGGGATGCCGTTTCTTGAATGTTTGTTTTTTGGCTATACTTTTAAAACATAACTGGTCAAAAACAAGCTGATGTCATTTTGACCTGCGGTGCAGCGATTCACGAGGTGAATGTTATGTTTAAGAATTGATTTTTTGGGGGAGAAAAGCAGTTTTATTCCACTTGCCATTCATAATGATGAAATCAAGCAAATGAATTTGGGTTTATTGCATGTTTGTACATGATTACATGATTAGGTACCTTGGGGCGTGTCCCAAGCAAACTGCTCCGAGTTTCAAAGACATCGTTACTACCTGTCACACTTCAATAATTCACCTTGAATAGTGTATTCAATGGTTCAATATTTAATTAACAAACTTTAAAAAAAAACACAAGTCAAAAATATTAAACGTAATGAATGAAGCGAGCAGAATTAGAATAATATAGGTTATGTACTTTTGCCAGAAAATTGAGGAAGGCTCGGTCATAACAATGCCAGGTTGAGTATTCCATCAGTGAACACATTTTTTTTCGATAATTAATTTAACAATATGTTTCAAAATTCCACCGCCTTCCTCTCTCCTAATAGAGGACTTGCGAATTTTGCCACAGTAGTCACACACAAAGGAATCCTGAAGACGAGGCGCCGTGCATAAAGCTCAGTCATTCGTGAAAAGAATGTTTTCGTGAAAAGAAGTTTTTCACACTTGACTGAGCTTTACGCACGGCGCCTCGTCTTCATTCTTTTGTGTTTGACTAATGGKGCGAACTGGGGTTGAAATCGCAAATCGGCTATTCCTGTGGCCACTCCCCTACCTTGGGGCTATTTTAATTCCTCTAGTAGGAGCTCTCTGTACTCAGGAATACAATGCCAGACTGGCCTCCTCCGATTGAGGCATAGATCTTCTCGGTACGGTGCCCTCACCAAGGAAAGCCCACTGGTAAAACACTCGTAAAACAAGTATAATTTATAGTAGCGCTGCGAGTTGCGGAGGAGGCTAATCTCTGAAAAGTTCCTTTTAAATCAAAATCTACTGCGCTTTATTTTAAAAATTAAGTTTATTTAAAAGTTTTTTATATACAATTATAAATTTGTTTTATTAATACTGACGACTAAATACGTTAGGGTTAATCCATTATAATTTTTTTTTTTTTTTGGGGGGGGGGGGGGGGGGGGGGGTGTGCTAAATCCATTGTCTTACCTCTGGCATGCTTATCAATGAATAGAGTCAATTTTGTATGAGTGGAAAACGGACGGTACTGTACTGTAACCGTAATCGTACTGTAACCATTTTTTAGGGTCTCATTGGTTCACAAAAATTGTGCAGGCCAGGTCCGGTAACTGTGCGGTAACCGTGCGGTAATTTCTACCGTATACGTTTCCCACTCATACGAAATTGACTCTATCACTCGAATATGTACACATAGTGCAAACACTACCTCGGCCATACTGGATGCCAAAATAATGTATATACAACATCAAACAACAACAACAACAACAACAACAACAACAACAACAACAAAAACAACAACAAAAACAACAACAAAAGAACGCAGCCCGTTATACTTGACTTTTCTTTGTGGTTTGAACATCCCAGTTGGTATTTTGCCATCCAGTATACCGGATTTAGTACCATGTGACAGTTTCATGCAAAAGGCCTATTCAGCACACTCCTATTTAATTTTTTTTTATGGTTTCAGCGTTTGTGCTTTTCAAACTATCAACTATTGAAAATGCATGGTCGACGTTGTTTGTGATACAAACGATTTTACTCTACTGGTAACTGAGGTTAACAATAGTCCACTTCGCGGATAACACAGCTATTAGAAATTGAGCAAATATCGMAAAAYTATTACMACCACTGGAAAGAACAGTWTGAAATTAGTATGTTTACCAGGTTTGAGCATGATTCGATGAAAAGTCAAGGAGAAACAGCGTTTAAAAGTCGGCAAAATTTACAAAGAAATGTATGGCTGTCGGCATGAGACCGAGGTTAACCTTGACTTGTTACAACCTGGCCAAACATTTCTATGCAAAATTTAGTGTTTTTGAAGTGCCGTATCTCTTTGAATTTAAATCAGATTATTTTCAAACTTGGCAAATTTGCTGATTTTATGACGCTCTTTCCAGTGATGTCAATGATTTACCATAACGACGTAATGTAAAATTTCGAATTATCCGCGAAGTGGACTATTAACAAGCAATTCCGCCGATAGAACAAAGGATCGTAGAAATCGATTTTCTTTGAATGTCAAATATATTTATTTTGACTTCCGTGTTTTATGTTCGATGTCAAACCAATCTAATTTATAAGCAAAACATTTGTTCTTCGATCGAGTTTCACTTTGACAGATTGTTTAGTTGCTATATTCAAGGGCGGATCCAGGAGGGGTGATGAGCGTGGATAACCACCANCGGATGTGATGTCTTACCTCTGGCATGCTTATCAATGAATAGAGTCAATTTCGTATGAGTGAAAAAACGGCGGTACTGCACTGTAACCGTAATTACTGTAACCAATTTTTAGGGTCTCATTGGTTCTCAGTAATTGTGCAGGCCAGGTCCGGTAATTGTGCAATAACCGTGCGGTAATTTTTACCGTACGTTTCCCACTCATACGAAATTGACTCGAATATCACTCGAATATGTACACATAGTGCAAACACTACCTCGGCCATACTGGATGCCAAAATAATGTATATACAACATCAAACAACAACAAAAACAACAACAACAACAACAAAAGAAATCAGCCCGTCAGACTTGACTTTTCTTTGTGGTTTGAACATGCCAGTTGGTATTTTGCCATCCAGTATACCGCGGATTTAGTAACACGTGACAGTTTCATGCAAAAGGCCTATTCAGCTGAGCACACTCCTATTTAGTTTTTTTATGGTTTCAGTGTTTGTGCTTTTCCAACTATCAACTATTGAAAATGTATGGTCGACGTTGTTTGTGATACAAACGATTTTACTCTACTGGTAACTGAGATTAACAATTTACAAGCAATTTCGCCGATAGAACAAAGGATCGTAGAAATCGATTTTCTTTGAATGTCAAATATATTTATTTTGACTTCCGTGTTTTATGTTCGATGTCAAACCAATCTAATTTATAAGCAAAACATTTGTTCTTCGATCGAGTTTCACTTTGACAGATTGTTTAGTTGCTATATTCAAGSGCGGATCCAGGAGGGGTGATGAGCGTGGATAACCACCATTTTTAGGGYTCAAAAACTTTAAAATGGGACTATGATAACCAGCGTTCATCTGAAAGGATGTTAACTTTCCAAATCCCTAAATATTTAGCATTGACTTAGCCATCCCCCTTTTGTAACGTTCTGGGTCCGCAAATGTCAGATAAATCTTTTATCGAGACAASAACAGACTTACTAAGCTTCATTTTCTGGTATCGGAACTTTTCATTCACTGTTTATCTGTTAACGTAGCGAACATAACAACAGAGTTGAAAAACATTTCGTTTCGTCTTTAAATGACGATCTCAAATTGAGAAGGTCATTAAAGAAGAAACGTGTTTTTCAACTCTGTTGTTTTGTTCGCTACGTTAACAGATAAGCAGTGAATGAAAAGTTCCGATACCAGAAAATAAAGATCCGCAAATGTGTTGCTGTTTTTTTTTTGCTTTTTTTTTATCCAATTGTTTTTTCTTGCGTTTATGATTTTTGATATTAACCCTTTTTCCATGTAAATTGACAGTTATCTGCACTGCTTGCTGCAGCCTTCAGGCGAGTAAGGCTTCAAACTGATACTACAATATGATTTACTTATACTAATTATAATAATGCAAGGCGCGTAAATCAGGGTTGTAACAAGGTATATATATCTCATATATCTCACGGTTCTTTTTAGCCTCATGGAAATATCAGGCCCGGTTCATACGTCGAGCCAGAGACGCGCCGAACCGAATAGTTTGAATTTAGCACATGAACAGCTCAACGTATGTTGAGTTATCTTTGCGATCGGGATCCGTGACTTCAGGTTTGGAATCACAATGTTTCAGGGGGGGTTTCTGGGGTCTGAGATKAAAATTGTAATTACCTGGGGATCAAGGGTTAGTCGTTTGTCGTCCAGGGATCACGATTACCAAAAAATATATACCTTGTTCCTACCCTGTTAAATACTCACAAACAGATACCGAGTATATGCACGACGCCGCTCTGTTACAGTTATGAAAACAATCAGTTATTATCTATTTCCACTCGACTTCATAAAGACAATCCATTGCTTTATCAAAGGCCAAGCGTTTTCCTTGTGAAGTTATATACAATTTTTCATTYCGTTGCAAAATGCCGATTTCGCCRACAGTCACACTAACAGGCCCTTTACTTCCTTTTGGCTCAAATCCTTGGGAAAACTGGAGCTCATTTTGGAGAAACTGTCCTTTGAGGACTTTAGGAATAGAAATGACAGCTCCTTTGGCAAGTTTAACACCACTGGGRCCGACATCGGTTATTGTTCCCCTGGTTATTCGACGAAAGTGAATAGTGAATTCACGGCTCACACCATCCCACGCCCASGATTTAAATACTGGCTTCGTTGGAAGAACTTTATCCAGAAGACTTACCCATTTGTTACCATCGTCTGTTACCGTTGCAATATCTTGCAGACATGAGGACCTTACTGYATTTGATATGGCACGAATCTCWTCAGGATCACGGGGCTCTGGAACAAAAGTAGGCACYGGGACTTTATCGTTATCGGGGGAAAGTTCCARCAAAGACACGCATAAATCKGCACAAGCAATATCAACACGTGATGGAAAATTAAACGCCCCATTCARRTTACTCTCCAGTGTTCGAAAGCAATCCAAAAGCCGCGTCCAATTGGCGCGCTCCACAGAATGCCTCCACATTGGAAGTTGCGAGACAAAAGCAAACGAATATGCAGAGTAATGAATGTGCTCTTCAAGAACAAGAAGTAAATTCCTTCCATTGCATTCCATGGCCAACACAGGATCGGGTTCTCGTTTTCTTTTGTCGTCTGAACGGAAGAGGGATTCCAAAAATAAGAGGCTATCAAAATTTCCGTGTCTTTCTGAGAAATTCTGAAAAAAGAAAAAAATTATGAACGCCAGCAATAAGATAGTTGTATTTTGATAATGATGTGTAAGTTGTTTAGCGTGCTAATTTGTCCTTTTCCACTTCTATCAATCTATTACAAGTTTCTTGGACTTTGACCTTTACATTTTCTCATGGGTAAATTTCTATGCTAAATCTCATATATTAAACTCCAAAGCTACCTTTACTTACAATGTAACCCTACAACTAAGTAATTCTACTTCCGAAAAACGTTTACTTCAACGTACAGTGCTGTACTAGTTTAATATCTCCTTCTACTTACTTCCACTTTCCTTACTTTATTTTGCTAAAACATCACTTCAACTAATTCAAATCCTTAATTACTCTAGCCTATAACTGATTGACTGTACTATATTCTTCGAATTCCACCATTATATGGCCGCACTACGTTCACATCTACTTACTTTATTTACCTCTTAATAAGTAGAGGTAAAAAGGTGTTGATTGATCAAACAGTTCATCCTTAAGACCGTATCGAGGTGGTATTTGCAAAGCGTTTGAGCACAGGCCACATAATTGACTAATATGCCTTGCAATTAAGTCTGAAGTACTATATTATACTTATTTTAATAATGATCTTAATGACTGGTTCTGTGTACAAGAATTTCAAATAATATTACATACATGTGGAAAATTACTTTTTCCAATCATTATACTAACCTCATTCTGGGATTCCATTGTTGGAGGGACAGAAGGAGGAGATTCAAGGACTACATCTTCAAAACTGCACTCCGCTTTTTCATCATCTTGGGGAGTTGTTGGAATGCTAACACTTTCACTTTGGTCACTCTCGAAATCGTTTTCTTCCGTTTCGGTTTCAGGAACTTCTTCGGGTTGCTCTTCTTCAGTGATGTCTCTACCATCATTACCTCTACCAGCAAGCCCTGATGTAGATTCCTCATTCTCATTTACAATATTCATTTCGGCTGGAGGAGTTTCTTCTTTCCCRCTGCTTGTAGATGATTTGTCGCAGGTATCTGCGTGGTCATTGRCATCTGAAATCGTGTTATCACCGTAATCAACTGGAATACTCTGATCTATAGGATTAGGAATGAGCACTGATTCACTTGGGTGTTCTGAATTCTCACTGTACGGAGGTGGCGGTGGCAACTGATCAAATGGCGTCATTATATATGGAAACAATTCTTGGTACGAAGGTGGCGGCGGCAGATTTGGAATTTCATAAATTGAAGACCTTCCAAGACCTCCACGAGTCATGTCCAATGACAGCCTGTTGGGGTTGCTGCGTGGATCGGGAGGAGCAGGGGGTGGCAAGATTTCTTCAGGAAGGTCAAGCTGTCTCATGTTAGAATCATTTCCATCATCATTTTGTGCTTCGTACACATGAGAAACCAAACGCTTCCACCGTTTCCTGTTCTTCTCCCAAGAGTTGACCATGCGGTTGTCCCGAAAGAGTCTTTCTTCTAACTGCTTCATACATGTTCGGAACTCCTTCCTCTTGTGTTCAATTGGTGTTAAAGCACGACGGACCACACGAACAATAGAAACAATCACAGCAATCAATATAACGGCACCTATCCCCGCCAGAAATATGCACAACGGAACTACAGAATTTGGATCGTCCAGCATCTTTGCGATGATTGCTGATATTGCTGCTATTACTGAGCACAGAAAGGACACAATTCTCCACATAATGAGCACATACGAATTGGACAACATGAAACCAACTGCTCGCCTAAAGCACAATGTGAACAACAGTGCAGCAAGATTAAGACATATTAGAAGAGCGAACACAACGAAGGGTCTGGCAACAGCGAGTACAGACACCCCAACCATCACAGCTTTGACAAAGTTGATTATRGTGTTGTAGATAGGTGAGAACTTTAAGTCAAGACTTGGATGATTAGAATCTCCATAACGAGTACCAAAAATAATCGCTGTCGTTGAGTACCAGACGAGAGCAAGAAGTCCAAATGTAGCAATTCCAGTATGTGACCCTTCCCAGCAAATTGTCTTTACATCATCGTAAAGAACAGCCGAAGGACAGTTAGTCAGGTTGGAAATGTTTGTGTGCATTGCACAGTTTGCGCCACTGTACTGACAAGCAACGAATCCAAGAAAGCTCTCTACCATTGTCACAAAAAGYGTATTTGTGAAAAGCGATACAAGTAAAGCCCATGATATTTGCTTAGCAAAAGTYCCATTTGGAAAGGTTTCAAGTACTTGYTCAAAAATGACAGGAAGTCCGCATATGAAAAACCATGCTACGAARAGAGCTGTAGTCATYCCRAACTTAAATTCAAACGATGCAAAATTCAAGAGTAAATAATTTGAGGCTTTGYTTAGTGTTGARCCACCATACATCGGTATACCTGGGACTACGAAGACAAGCGCCAGCAACTGGAGAAACTCAACTATTTCGAAAAGGACTGTATGTGAATTGGTCCAGTTGAATCGAACATAATCATAGGCTTTAGGTCTTATTGAAAATGAGTCTTCACGATGCTTGAACGTTAGGAAAGCTGCTAAAACAAGGAATATGATCAGTAATATCCCAAGCACTCCGATGACCGCTGTGATACTGGATCCACTGCCACTTGTAAGTAACCATGGTGCGACTCCAAATGAGAGAGCGAAAGGAAACCCGAAAAAAATTATGTACACAATTACTGTACAGAAACCAGCCAGGCAGATATTTCCACAAAGAAACTTCATAACAGTTAGGAAAAGGTCTGCAGGCATAAGAAGYCCAAACACTATTGCAGTGAAGATAAAACGYACAGTTTTCCAACTGAAGAGAAGAATAGCCAAGTCCACCAAATCTTCAGCAAACTTTGGAGGATAGCGACGGACAGTTTGCCGCACTGCTTTCCAGCTTCTCTTTGAGATAATGTCATTCGATATCTCGATTAACAGGAATGGCGCACGGTAGACAGTCAARATCACTAGAAAAATGATCAAAASTGTAAGGAAGTCCCGCATGTACTCTTTCAGGGAWGCAAATACAATCTTTCTGCGATCATACCACCGGCGATAAAGATTACGAATCAATGCAGGCGCGCGGTAGATCAGRATTAAGTTGAGGAGGATTAGGATGGAAATCAGGAAGCGACCGCTTGGTAGGCACTTTATGAGAACCTTCTGCGTCTCCTGGCGCGTACGTGTCAYGAGTCCACATTCCTCACTCCAAAGTGGTACTTTCTGGACAGTGAATTTTTCCAAATCTTGAATTGCCGAGTGTATTTGACTTTCAAAGCGAATCATTTCATTTCGGTATTTCGTTAGGTTCTCATTGTGTACAGCAAYGTCAACCCGATGAAGGTAGTTCAATTCACATTGATATAGYCTTTGCATTTTGTAGGCTCTCTTGCCTTCGTAAAACTGTATCATTCGCAGTAGATGGTTGTATTCACCATCAAGCTCRTATTTGATTATCTTGTCGCGGATCCACTGAAGATCTCTYAGGAATTCCGCATTGATGAGAGAGAGCTCAATTCTTACATTTGAAGGGGAGAATTTGTTCTTCAAACTCGAAGAAAAAACCTCTTCCATTTCTCGATAAACTTGGTGTCGTTTGCCAACAATGTCGGGAACCCACTGCATGTAAAATCGTAGAAGGCGGTTTTTGCGGTGATCTTCATCTTCCAGGAGATGAACCCAAGACTGTATTGGCCTCAAAATCATCAGTATTATGAACAAAATCAAAAACACCAAATCGACTACCAGTTTGCCAAGCTGCATAAAGGCAATTAAAGCGAACTCCATATAGAAATCCCCCGCTTGTAGAAGCCTTGCTAGCAGCTTTGGTAAACGTACAAAAGTCACCAAGAGAACTAAACAAGCAACAATMGCTGGAAAGTCGACAAATAGGAAGCCAAAATGCTTCAATACTGCTTTACGCATCTTCCAMGAGTTCTTATTTTTGAGCTTTATCAGAGCCTTTTTCCTTCGTCGCTGCTCAAGGCTATTGYCGTCCACTTGTTCCCCTGTTGCTGTTCTCTGTTCGTGTTCCTCATCACCGTTTCCCCCTTCGTTACCATTCGTCTCCTGACCAATTTCAGATCGCTGTTTGAAATACTTTTTCAAGTCTTTTACCAAAGGATACGCCCTCCATAAAGTCACTATCACGACTAAAGACACAATGACACAGATAATGTTGAGCAAAAGAAATCCAAARTCGACCACCAGTAATCCAAATTGCTTCAGACAATTCTTTCTTAGTTTCCATTCGTCTTTTGTACATTTTCGMACAAATCGCGGGAAGCGCCAAATGGTTATMAAAACAATGAAAGCACAAATGATGCARGGRATATCCACAAAAACCAAGCACAACTGYTTCAGTATTTTGAACTTGATCATCCATTCAAGGTTAGCGTGGACAGAGCAATCATCGTCGTCGTCGTCAACATCTTCAACATCTGTATTAATCAAATCATACACCATCAAAGGGCCACGCCAAGTCACCATGGTAATTAAAGCCATCGCGAAAAAGAACACATCAGTAACGAGACAAAAAAGCTCAAGAAAAACAATAAACCTGTCGCTATTCCATTYAAATGTGCCTTCTTTCTTTGACTTCCTGAAAGAGTAGATAAGCCACCATCCACGCCAAGTGAAAAACAGGAAAATACCACATATAACGCATGGGATATCCAGCAATAAATGAATGAACTCAACAACACATATTTTTCTCCATTCAAAGTTGTCCCATTTTTCCACTTTCTTGATTTTGCGAAGAAAGACGCAACATCGCCAGGAACAAAGGCAAAAGAATCCAAGAGGAATGCAGAACATATCRCAAATGACTCGCACAAAATAACTAACRACTATCTTCCTCAGCTTGAAACCACCAAAGTAAATTCCGCCCTTTTTGTGAGTATAATCGCACTTAACTTTCTTCCTTTTGACTTTCTTGGTGAATGGAATAATTATGAGGCCTAGTGTTAGTGCAATCGTTATGAGTCCCATRATTATTATTGGGATGTCCATMAGAAATATCAGACACTGTACCAAACCAACATACCGCCACTCCGCCATCGATTCCATTTCTTGGAATTGTCTTATCATACATGGAAGGCGTATGATTGTGACACATGCCAACACATTGAATATCAGTCCAAGGAGATCTAAAATTCTAAGACCTACAAATTCGACGAATTTCCAAAAAGTCCAACAGGTCTTCTGGACAATGAATACCATACAATCAATTATTTCTGACATCTTGGTTAGCGATCGCTGYTACAAACTAAAACAAAATGAATAAACATCATAATTAATGACAGCTAAAATAAAACATCCAATCGATACTTTTTAAAAGTAATCAGTGGTATTTGTTTCACAGATTTAGCGYGTTCACTCTAGAAGTGCTAGTTGTTAAAAAATTYAGAACAGCCACATAATGAAATGGAAAAGAGCAAATAGGAAATGCAAGCATGACAATGATTACTTGTCTTGTGGATACATGTAGCATACATTTTTCTTCTAATGAATATTATAAGAATCAGAATAATAAATAAAGTCCAGTGACGCCATTTTGTGCAACAGTCATGATGGGAGTTCTATCCTCACAATTTGTTTTATCATGTTCCCCAAAATAGTCCTCCACAGCTCTTCTTAGGCTGACATTTTTTTCATACTTCATTGTACAATATAGCATCACTACACATTATTCAACTACAATTATCAAAATACTACAAAAAGAAAAAAAATCAATTTAAATTAAAGCTACCATACATTCCGGAACGCTTGTGCAAATTTCTCACACAAAAAATGAAAGCAACTTTCACAGAAACCATTTAAAACAAAACAAACTATTGCAAAGGTTCTTTTAAAAATGCATGTGGTTAAATTTCAAAAGAGGTAATAATAAACAGTTGCTAGACAATGTTATTGTACCCTTGGTATAACAAGTTTGAACAAGGCAATAAGATGGCCCATATCAAACTATTTCTAGTTTTCAATCATTCCCATGAGATTCAAAAGGTAAGAGACTGGCAGAGGAATGAGCAAAATATAGATACTAATAAGAAATCCTTTGTTGAAGTTTAAACAAGATGGTGTATTGTATATTAGATGATGTACATTACAAAATAATGAAGAATTGTTTTATGTTGTTATCTTCTAAGGAAACAAAGAAGCCTATGAAATAACATCATTATAATAAAATGAAAATATGGCTTTAGTGTTACAAATATGGCTAGAAAATCTCTTTTTACATTAATGACTTTCAAAATTTCAAATGACTCACTCACATGTAAATGGCTTGTGTTTTGAGGTTCAGACCTTGGATATTTGTATATCAAGTAATAGTATATACTAACACTGTTTGATGTGATTCCAAATACTCAATCTGCAGATGCTAATCAGAATAAAAACAGTGGGCAATACCAATAAATAGCATAATAAATAAGCCCATCACTCACTTGTCACAAAGATCTTGTCATGTAAGCAAAGTATGTTTGAATAATACACAAYCAGGTGAATACTATCTTGAAATATWGATGCCATTGTTAATTTTGGAAAGCTGTTTGTATATTGCTATATGACCTTTGAAACTTTGCATATATTTCTGTAAGCTGCTACTGCACGTATATTGTCATTATCTTAGACGTTTTCAATTTCTAAAAGAAAGACTGTTCAATTCCTTACACCACTGCAAACGTATGAGTATATATATCTTGTCTTAGATACAGCTGTTTTACTTCATTACTATACAAAAGATAGCATTATAAGAATAGAGCTTAATTTTGATCGGAAAGTACACATGCACATAAACTAAGCCTTAGCTTTAGCTGTCAGTCAAAAATGTTAACTTTGTGATTTATCAACTGATTTATCAACTTTGACCTTCTCCTTTCATTTTATTCTGTAATTATTCTGTATTATTTGGGGCATAACAATAACTAAAATAGAAATTTGAATATAAGATAATTCATTTACATAATGATGACATAATGATTAATAATGATGCTTCAAATGTAGCATCTATTAAAAAAACAATTAGCTACAGTACTGGTCTAATTTAGATTTTTCCTAGATTTTTTTTTAATTTGCAGCATCATTTACATATAAATGAAATTAACTGAGTGACTGTTACTATGCCATAAAACTAAGAAGATGTATATGTGCAACAGGTTTACTATCATTTGTATAAATTTTCACTCATTTGCTACTCACCTGATTTGTAATAAAAATAGCAACATGTAACCACATGCCTCAAAAGGTAATGGTCAATCAAAATCCCTTATTATATTAATTTTCCTTTCATGCTAAGGGGGTACTCCCTTGAAAAACAGGTGAAAAAATGGGTARKGGTKCTCTATGGACCTTTAGGGTCTGTAATACAACCATTGCATTGCATACCTTTCAAAGTCTCCAACTGATAGTGCGCACACCTTTTAAAGTCAGATCTGTGGGTTTTAAAATACAGAAAAGTAACAATAAAAGAATTAAAACATCATTTTATTAACTATAACAAATATTGGTATATCAGTRGTCTGAAATCTGGATCTCAAATAATTTATAAATGCAAACCTTTCTGGGTCATTTTAAAAACCATCTTTTCAGCACCCTTTCAAATTTTCCAAGGGAACACTCCCCCTCAATTTAAGTC